ACTTCAGTGGCTCCCTATCACCTCCAGGATCAAATATAAAATGCTCTGTTTGGCATTCAAAGACCTTCATAACCTAGCATGCTCTTACCTCTTCAGTCTTCTCGCTCCTTACTTCCCATCACCTACTCTTCTACCCCGTGATGGTGCCATGAACAAGACACTCCATCTCTAAGGTCCGAGCATTTTATCTGGTCATCCTCCATCTCTGGAACGCTCTCTATCCTCTGCCCGGCCTACTAACTTCCCTGGCTTCCTTTAAGTCCCAGTAAAAATCTTTTCTTTTATAGGAAGCCTTTGCTAATTCCCTTTAATTTTAATGTCTTCCCTCTGTCCTTTATTTTCCATTTATTCTGTATATAGTTTGCCTTGTATTTTTGGGGATGCATATTGTCTCCCTCATTGGATTGCAATGTCCTTGAGTGCAGGGACTGTCTTTTGCTTCTTTTTTTCTTTTTATCCCAAGAGTTCAGCACAGTGCCTGGCATACAGTAGATGCTTGATAAATGTTCATTGATTGATTTCTAATTAATAACCTTAGGGTTACCTGGCCTTCACCTTCGAAATATAATCAGCTATCACTATGTATGTTGCAGCTCCATTTCTGCAACATCTCTCCCATATGTCCTTTCCCTTCTGTTTCCCTACCATCACCTTCATATGGGCCTGTATTATTCCTACATCCTTTATTCCAAGATGGCACAGTAGATAGAGCACTGGGTCTGGAGTTAGGAAGCCCTGAGTTTAAATGTGACCTTACTAGCTGCGGGACTCTAGGCAAGTAATTTAATCTCTGCCTCAGTTTCCTCAACTATAAAGGGGGATAATAATAGCACCTATCTCCCCAGGTTGTTGTGAGGATTAAATGAGATAAAATCTTTGTTGGTTCCCTCTTGTCAACCACAAAATATCCAATCTTATCCACCCCGTGATCAAAACTCTCTATGTTCTGGGGAGCTGCTGCTGGTGATGATGCCACAAAGACTAAGACTCATGTCCCTGCCATAGACGTAGTCTCTTCCCTCAAGGAGTTTATAATTCAGGGAGGGAGATGATAGCTAGCATTTATATAGCATCTTATGGTTTGCAAAGGGTTTTACAAATATCTGATTTTATTTTCACAACTCTGGGAGGTAGGTACTGTTATTATCCCCATTTTACAGTTAAAGAAACTAGGCAGAGATTAAATGACTTGCCCAAGGTCACACAGCTAGTAAGTTTCTGAGGCAGGATTAAAACTCAGGTCAGCCTGACTCCAAGTCCACTGCTCTACCCACTATGCCACCTAGTTATCTCTAATAAGTCCCAAAGAACAGAAGCAATTTCGTATAGGCTAATCGAGCACTAGCTGTAGAGTCAGGAAGACCTGAGTTTTAATTCTTCCTCAGACATTTACTAGCTATGTGACCCTGGGCAAGTCACTTAACCCATTTCAGCCTCAGTTTTCTCATCCATAAAATGGAGACAATAATAGCACTTATTTCATAGGGCATCTAAGAGGGTCAAATGAGATAACATATACAAAATGTTTTGCAAAGATTAAAATGCCACATAAATATTTGCTATTATTACACGTAATACAAAAAGTACATAGTAAATAATGTTAATATTAGTAATAACATCATTATTAGCAATAATAATGGTAGTAGTAGATGTGATAGGGTATGGGCCCAAGCACATTGGACACTAGAAAACCCCACCTTGGACTTTCCTTGAACTCTCCAACTTGGTCAAGGAAGTTTCTAGAGTGGGCCTGAGGCTATAATCCTATCAGCTGGCCTTTCATTATCACCTACACCCAGATTCCCAATTCTGTTACCCTTAATCTAACCCAGCCCTCTATTGTCTGTTACCTTGGGATGACCCCCAGCTACTTCCCACCCTTGATTCTATCTAGACCCCATTCTATGTCCCAGTTACTTCCATCAAGATCCTCCCTAGACTCCCTTCTCCTAGGCCCCTCTTCCTGTCACCCCAAACTACTTGTCCACTTCTAGATCCCTCCCACAGTCTTTCCGTATGTAAGATCCATCTTGTCTCCATTACCGTGCTCAGACTCTCAAGATCTGGCCCACTTGTATTAGCAATACAAATGCATATGGCAGATCTTTAATAAACCTTGTCTTTGGCTGAAAGAGGCTTGGGCCGAATTCATTTGGGCAGGACCCATGTGTTTGATTTTGGGATCCCAGCAACCCTAAACCTCAACAGATGTATAGTAGATAATGTTTGCAATGCAAGTTAGATATGTGCAAAGTCCTTTGCAAACCTTAAAGTTCTATATAGCTGCTATTATTATTATACAAGTGATATATATATATATATAGGGGTTCAGGGGTCCTGGGACCCCAAAATCACACATGCAGGTCCTACCCAAATTTGACCCAAGCCTTCTTTCAGCCAAAGACAAGGTTTATTAGAACATTGTCATACTGGGCAGCCTCTTAAGGAGTCTGAACGTAAGTAAGTGTTGGCTAGGTTTTAGGAATCTGAGACAAGATGGACCTTATATACAGAAAGCCTGTGAGAGGGATCTAGGAGTGGCCAAGTAGTCTATGAGGTAATAGAACTCCAGGGGTGGCCAAGGAGAATGGAGCCTAGATAGATTAAGGGTGGGAAGTGGCCTGGGGTCACAGGGAGGTATGGAATTATAGCCTCAGGAGAATGCCAGAGATCCGCCATGTGGGAAAGTCCAGGGTTTTTCTTTTTTGGGGTCTAGATCCCATCCTCATCACAAGCAGTACTCTGGGAAGTCAGGGAGGACAGATCCTTTTTGACTGAGGGAAAAGGGAAGGCTTTGTGGCAGGTATAGCATTTATGTTTGGTTTTGAAAACTAAGCAGGATTTTAAATAGTAAAGATAAGACTGCAGAATCCTTCCATACGTCTCATGCTCTCCACCATAACGAGTCTTTGCATTCTTTTCAAGTACAGTTAGCTGTCCCTTCCACATCGAAACTTTCCCCATTGAGGTTTTGATAGATTGTAGGTCAGCATAAGAAATTAAATGGGAGTTTTGGGGGAGTTTTGTGGAAGCCGCAAATGACACTCTAAGGCCGGCAGACGGCACTGAGCCTTTGGCCAAGTACTTAACCCAAATTTTACAATAAGCTACTGTAAACACTCATAAAAGAAAAAGAAAAAAATTCAGACTTCTCTGGTATGCAGAGAGGGCCAAAAAATTTTACATGGATTTTCCTGATCGGCAATGCGCCCTTCACCCCCAAAATGTGGAAGGAATAACTGCAGTTCTTTCTCACACACACACACACACACACACACACACACACACACACACACACAAAATTCCTGCACAGTTAAGATGGGTTACAAAACTGTGAAGCAGTTTTTAAAGACAAAAAGACTTTGTATTAAAAACCCTTTCTTCTGAAACTGGGATAGAGTACTGAAGGTGGAGCAAATGTTAAAGAGGCAAGAACAGCAGAAATCATGAGGTGGGGGAGGTATGAGCTGAGCTCAAGAAACAGTTGTATTTTGTAGGCGTTCATCCAGAAGTCCTCTAGAGCATTGCAAAGGGAGGTCAGGCTGGAGTGGAGAATGCAGAGGGGGCCATGTGAGGGGGAGCTCACAGAGAAAGCAGGCCAGAAGGAAACCCCTTGGATGAAGGAGGGGCGTATGGGAACAGCCCCAGAGCTGAAGAAGGATGAGGTCACCACAGCAGGAGCCAATCAAAACTCTCCCTGGGGCAGCTTTCACTAGGTCAGAGACATCAGATGTTTCCTTGTTGGTGCTAGGGAAAAGAGGCAGCCAGACAAGTCCTGGGCTCTGTGCCCATATACGCAGGAGGCCCTGCATTGGCTAGAAAAGATCCAGGGACTGGCTGAAGGTCAACCCAGAAGCCACTAATCACTGCTGAGAGCCAAAAGTTACATTTTTGTAGGGATTAGTCGTCATTGGTTACATTTCTGGTAAAGTCAGTTTGGGGGTTCCTGGGAAAGCTATTTAAATGGCTCTATTTTTTTTTTTAATAAGAAACTCCACTTTTTAAAGCACCAGGTAGGCGTATTTCAGCACTCTGTGGTATTCTCTGAGAGGATCATAACTTTGGAGTTCTAAAGGTCTTAAAGATCAACAAGGCCAATCTGCTCATTTTACAAGTCAGCTGGTCAACAAATACATTTATTAAGAGCTTGCCATGTGTCAGCACTATGCTAAGTGCAAGAGCGTGATGGAAAAGTCCAAAGAAGTCCAAAAGCAGTGCAGTTTGTGGGAAATAGGGAGATTGTGGTGAACCCCCCTCTTTAATAGGGACCCTGGAGCCCATGGACCTGTTCTCCTTTCCAAGAGTCCAATCAGAAGAGTGGGGGGTAGTGATAAGATGTGAAGACCAGGCAGATTCAGTCTTGCTGCACAATGAGATTTCTCAGTGCTTAGTTTCCTGGGAAAGGAAGGTATGCTGGCAAAGTCCAAAAGAAGTACAGTTGGTGGGAAATGGGGAGAAAACTATGCTGAACCCCTCTTTAAGAAGAGGCCCTAGAGCCCATGGCCCTGCCCTCCAGTCAAAGATCAAGAAACTGAGGTCCAGAGAGTTAAGCGTCTTGTCCAAAGTCATATAGACAGTAAGCAGAACAAGGATTTGAACTGAATTTGGAGCCAGAGGAATTGTGTTCTAGCACAGCAAGGATTTGAAACCAGCTCCTCAGCCTCTCTCTCTCTCTCTCTCTCTCTCTCTCTCTCTCTCTCTCTCTCTCTCTCTCTCTTTTGAGGCAATCAGGATTAAGTGATTTGCCCAGGGTCACACAACTAGCAAGTGTCTGAAGTTGGATTTGAACTCAGATCCTCCTGATTCCAGGGCTGGTGCTGTACCACTCTACACCTAGCTGCCCCCACTCTGCCTCTTAAAGGAAGGAAGAAGCCAAGATTAGAATTCTTTTGATCCTAGTTTTAGACTTGTAGACTGTTAGAATAACAGTGTTAGGTACCTTAGAGATCATCTAATCCAACCTCCATCATTTTATATAGGAAGAAACTGAGTTGTCCTACCTGTCTGCACTAAAAGGTTTCCTAATAGACCAGCAAGAAGATAAAGGCCAGGGATCATATGCAGAGTACCTTGTTTCCAGTCCTTTCCCTGTTAGTAGAAGCATAAAATCAATCAATAAACATTTATTAAATTATATTAATTAATGATTAATTAATAAATTATAAATTTATTTAAAATTTATTACTAAATAAACATTTGTTAAATGTTTACCCATATATAGCAAGTCTTAAATCACTTAAGGGTGGTATAAAGTGATGCAGGCATTTAGAGGACAAAGAAATTACTTCCTGTCTGGGGAGTTGTGATGTTAGAATTAGGTAAAGATTTAAATGCTCAGGGAGCATTTGAGCTGGGCCTTGAAATATGGGTAGGACTTTGAAAGAGAGAGATGGTAGAGGGAGCAGAGTGAGCAAATTTGAAGAAGTAGGAAACCGTATATCCTTTAGGAAAGATCAAATAATTGCATTTGACTGGAATGTAACTCATCATATCCAGTTGATGGGGTGCTTGGGTGCTTGTGTTTGGGTGTTTGTGCTTGTACTTGGATCCCAATTTCTCCCTAGTCTCTGAAACGCTGTCTCTGACAACTACTCCCCAGCCCAAGGACACTGTGCCTAGCAGTTATTCATGCATGGGCCTCAGCACAGCCCTTATCTCTTTTCCTAGTCCAGCTACACAAAGCTGGGTGAGAGAGTGCTGGGCTGCTCAGGCCCCAGCCCTCAGATCATGTCTCTGGAAGCCTCCCAATTCCTTAATAAGTTCCTGTCTTGTGAGAAAGCCTTCCCTTGTTGTAGCTCATTCTCTCATCAAGACAGAAAGAGAGGAGTGCCTTGCCCAGCCCAAGGAGTTTTGTCCTTGGCCAGCCCAAGGACTCTTCCTCCTGCTGGACTCCAAAGATCCATACCTCTGTCATCTCCCTCCCTGTCTGGTATACTCCCTGTACTTTCCCATCCATAGCCCCCAAAGACATCTGCACCTTTGGATTACCTCATTAGAATCCCTGGCATTCCTTTCCCATGACCTTTTCCATATAAACCCTAGCTCCATCCTCAGTCTCTCTCAGGTTCCTTAAGAATCCTTGCCCGCTGAAAAGCATAACAATAAATCTTTGCCACCTTGACTTGAAGAATGTTTGAGTCTGTGAATTCATTCCAGACGACCCAGCCTGTACTCCAGTCTTTGAGGAGTCTCAATCTCTCAGACCACACACAATCAGTTGCCACGTCTTTGGGATTTTAATTTCAGAACATCTTCAGAACATCTTCTCTCTCTTAGTGATGGGGTCATAGGACCTGAACCCCTAAAAGGAAAAGACCATGTCTTTGAAAGCAGCCCAGTTCCCACATTTTCCCATACATTTCAGTAGCCCAGATCATTGGTGCCTCCACCTAGACATCTGGCCCATCCCAGCCCACCTTATTAATTAATTAGCTTACTTGACACTCCTTAATACCATCTAGACCCTTTCTCGGTTGCCTCCAGACCACTCCAGACTATTTACCACTCCTTAATCCTATCCAAATTTTCCCACAGTCTTTTTCTGCATAAAAGTATCAATCTTACCCCCATTAAATTGCACAGACTCTTAGAACCTCGCTTGCCTGTATTGGCATCACGAATACCACACATTTACTAGAAATCTTGCCTGCCCAACCAGTATATTAAAAAACTCACTATTTTGACTGAAAGAAGACTTGGGTGGTTGAATTCTTCTGAGGCACACTCGCCCTGTGCCCTTGCATTTCTGGGCTCCTAATACCCCAAACCTTAACATTACCACCATAAGCACTCTAATTCCATGCTTTCTACATCTCTCATGGACTACTGCAAAAGCCTTCTGTTCAGTCTTTGTTTATTTAGTCTCTCCCCTCCCCAATACATGTTCCACACATTTAATACTAAACTCACATTCTTAAAACACAAGCACTCCTTTTCAAGAGTCTTCCATGGTCCTCTATTGCCTCTGCGGCATAGTAGCAGAGTGTTTCAGCCAAACTGACCTACTTGCTGTCCCCGTAAATGATAATCCACCTCTTGCCTCCACTTCTTTCAAGAAATTACTCCTCATGGGGCCAGCTAGATGGCTCAGTGGATACAGCACTGGCCCTGGAGTCAGGAGGACCTGAGTTAAAATGTGGCCTCAGACACTTGACACTTACTAGCTATGTGACCCGGGGCAAGTCACTTAGCTCTGTTGCCTAGGCTGCCCCCCCCCAAAAAAATTCTCAGTGCTTGGAATGTTCTTCTATCCCCATTTCTTATAATCCTTAGATTACCCCAAAGCTCAGTTTAAATGCTACCTCCCATAAGAAACCTTTCTAAATAACCCCAGTTACTATGCTAACCTCCTATAAAGAAGCCTTTCTAAATAACCACAGTTACTAGCACTCCCTTCTCAAAAAGTTAACTTGAAATTTATTTTGTTCATATTTTTAATGTACTTGCCTAAGTGCAAGTTCACTTCCCCACCCCTACCTTCTCCCTATAAAATATAAGTTCCTTGAGGGCAGGGGCTGTTTTGTTCTTGTCTTTGAGTAGTAGGGAGGTGGGGATGGGGACTGTTGTGCTGGTAGGAAAGGCTATTCACTCTCTCTTTTTTGTTTCCCTGTGAGTGGGCCATTCTACACTTTCCCAATCACTTTCTCAGCTCCCCTTCTTCTCCAGAGACTCCCTCAGATTTGTTCTCTAGGTGTGACTTGGTTTTCCTTTCAACTCAGCCTGGGGGCAGGGAGAATAAACAATGGAAAGAGGAAATGGTCCAAGTATCACCTAACATACCAGTCACAGCCTTCCGGTCCCCATCCCCCACCAAAGTTATTACACTGTTTGCCTGGTTCCACATTTTTCTTCCTGTTCTGGAAAGCTATTAAATATGAATCAATAACTCTCTTTTGTTCAGCTCTGTCTCCCAGCCAGGAAATGTCCTAGTAGTTGTAAAAAAAAAATCTTCTGGGTATTTCCCTCTACTGCTTCTCTTTATGCTGCTGCATTCAAGTTATGCAACACTTTCAGAGCAGCAATGCAATGGTTAGCCAGATTTATCTTAGAGAAACCAGCTTTAAAACAGGAAGGAAAACAGATGCAAACAAAGTCTCAAGACCTGGAGATTGGACTCCCAGGTCACATGACCAACAAGATGTAGGACTAGACATTTTGTCCAGCCTCAAATAACTCTCCAAAATACCCCAGGAGAAGAATCACACACCAGAGTTAGAGCACTTATAGCTCTGACATCACCTTGTGGACAAAGGTCGGCGGAGTCAAAGCTGTGGTTTTTCCAGTAGCAATGTATGGCTGTGAGAGTTGGATTGTAAAAGGAAAGGTGAGCACTGTAGAATTGATACTTTTGAATTGTGGTGCTAGAGAAGACTTTTGAGAGTCTCTTGGACAACAAGGAGATCAAATCAGTCAATACTTAAAGAAATTGATTCATACTATTTCCCCAGAAAGTCAAATACTGAAGCTGAAGCATAAATACTTTGGCCACATAATGAGAACATGGGACTTGTTGGAAAAGCCACTGATATTGGGAAGGATTGAAGGCAAAAGGAAAAGAGGATGGCAGAGGATGCATTGATAGTATCATGGAAACAACAAACATGAATTTGGATAGAGATAGTGGAAGATAGAAGGACCCGGAGTGCTATGGTCCATGAGGTAATGAAGAGTTGGACATGGCCGAACAACAACTAAAACAGTACAAGAAAGCAAGGAGCCTAACAAGGTAGTCTGAGGGAAACGGGGGCACTTTATGCCAGGGGAGTCTAATCATCACTATCATCTCTTGGGGTGTATGGAGTGTTCCTGGAGGACCTCTGGTATGAGGGCTTGCCAAGTCCTTTTCAGAGCTGCTTATCCGCTTTTGGTGTCCACTCTTCACCCAACTCTCTCCTGTGGCTCCAAGAAGACTGTAGCATATACAGTGGCCACACCCTAGTAAAACCATCTCTGCAGATGGGCTAAACCAGGTTGAGGGTAACCAACGGGCTTCAGATCTGATGAGGTAAAGAGATGTCTGCCCCAAGCATGTGAAGACTTCCCTCTACAGAATAGGTAGTTGAGAGCAATTTATTCCAAAGGCTATGAAGGTGGATGAAGCAGGTACCACGGAGCACCTAGAGCTTGGTCGGACATTGAAGATGCCAAGGTCTTGCACTGCATCCCAGACCATAGCTGGTTGTCTTGACTTTTGTCCTGCCACTGGACTTTAACGGCTTTAGAAGAAAGAGTGAGGCTCACAACTTTGTGCAACTCTGCCTCACTTAAATCTAATTCAGGCACAAGTCAAGACATCACTCCCTGATGACATTGGTCCTCTTTAGAAAATAAGGACAAGCAACAGCCTCTAGATGGATAACTTCACCTACCTCCCAGGGTTGTTGTTGTGAAGATCAAATGAGATAATTTGTAAAGCACTTAGCACAATGCCGGGCACACAGAAAGCACATGTGATTTTGCCAATGGAAATGACACTAAAGAAGGTGCGTTAGCATCTGTTTTGCCATTGCATCCTATGGACTATGGGACGTTTCCATCTGACTTGTAGCTGAAATCTTCCTTATGTGTTGTCTCCCTCCATTAGAATGTGAGCTCCTTGAGAGCAGGGACTCTCTTATTCTTCTACTTCTAATATCCCCAGAACTTAGCACAGTGCTTTGCATATAGCGCTGAATAAATCCTTCTTCATTCATTTATTTACTCATCAGTCTTATGAGTTGTCAGGGGAAAATGGCTTTAAGTCACTCTCTCATTTCCCCCTCTGCTACCAACCTCTATGTTCTGGCATGGTGCACAAACCAATCTTCATGTGCTTTGGGTTCCACTTGGGGATTTCCCTGCTGTCACAAATAGTCTTCTGGTACACCCCACTGCTGACCTTTCCCCATTATCCTAATGCAAAGAACAGCAGAAATAGACTCTGCCCAGCCCTGGGGAGAATGGGGAGCAAAGGCATGTTTTCCTCTGCCCAGAGGGGCCTCTAGGTTAGAGAGCCCCAAAGGTATCACAAACTGTCCAGAAGGTCCACTTGATCTTCCCTTAACCCTGAAAAAAATCATAGATATTGATTCAGCCCAGTGA